ATACACAACACAGAATTTCTAAAAAATAAGTAAATAAAATTAAAATTAAAATTTCATAGGGCCATTTTATTTCATAAAATTTCATAAATTAAGTTGTTTTTATGAATTCAATTAATTAGATATGTTTTTGATTAAACCATTAATATGGAATACAGAAAAATTCAAATGTTTGTATAGGGCCCCATTCCTGTATTTTGCCTGGGGCCCCCAAATCATTAAATCCGCCCCTGCTCATCAGAGTAAACTTTCTGACATAAATGAGAAACTGTGTTATGGAAATACTCTGTCGAATTGAATATGTATCTTTAGTTTACTGTGTTTCAGAATCTAAAAATAAAAGTGCTTTACGGGTTAGAATGGCGTGTCAAAGACTTTATATTTGGATTCACTACTGATCCACTCACACACGCTGAAAAACAGTTTGAAGCCAAAGAGATGTCACAACTGCAGAATACCACTCACAGGTCTTTCTGCGGGCTTGTGATAGACCTACTTTCCATAAATCACACCATCAGATTTATCCGCCTCATAGAGAAACACAGGCACGGGTAACAGGATTTTCACGCGTTTTAAGTGAACTGCGCTGTGCGTGGTGCTGAATCCTTCCGAACTGTTCTAACAAAAAAGAAAAAAAAAAAAATCATTTCTCTTCACGTTCACTTACAACATATTACAAATCGAAACTGGGTCAATAAGAAACGAGAAAAAAGAAAAGAAAAGAAAAAACGCCGAACAGGTGCGCAAAACACCGACCTTCTGTCTAGGAAATAGGTTAAAATACACTAAAGCGATGCGAAAATTTGTAAGAATTTAGTCGTTTTAATATATGGTAGAACAGAATATAGGCTTCAAGCACCATCAGAACTCTCTTACTCACCTTCCACTTCGTCCTCAGGTAGATTGACCGGTGCCCGGTACGACAAGATATCAGGAATGGTGCAGATCCCCCGGTACATCAAAGTGGAAGTCACCGGATGTATAGGCATTTTTGCGCTTTGTGTTGACTAGCACGTGTGTATTGATCCTCATATATGTGATTTACTGTCCAGACGGCAACTTTTTATCCCACATCAGATCGGACCGACACCCTCAGTGGTGATCACGCGTGGAGTGGATTCCATGGAAAGGTCCGATAGTAGCCTACTCTCGCAGCTTGCGCAATTGCGCAGCCCTCTCCACGAAACCAGGTATAGGGATTTACAAGTCTTCACAGGTCACGGGTGGTCTAGATGTAAGGCTTTTTTGGTTCGGATCTTCAAAATATAAGCAAACCGCCCCGCCTAATTTGTTGTAAAAATGACAAAGACAACGAATTACGGCGGCTCCATCGGCGGGGAAACTAGCAAATCCACCAGATCACACGACGCGCATCAAACAAACGCGCATTTTTTTAATCAATGCGACAAAGTATGTGCGTGTTTGGCGAGGTTGCTTGGATCGATTCGAGCTCCAGGTCGTTAGACAGTGATCTCCATATGCTTGTTTTCTCCTCAATCGCTTCTTAAGACACAGCAGTGGAGCTTCGAGCACGCACTTGTTGGATAGCGTGTGCGCACCGCAAAGAACAATGAGTTAAAAATGCGCTTTACGCGTGTGTAGTTGTAGCTAAGGTTAAGATCTTTTTCTTTAAAGAAACCCTATTTTTCCTGAATCATAAAAATTAGATTTAAAAACGGGGAAAGATGCCACCGATACAATCAAACTTTCCAGCTAATCACAACATGCAGATAAACGATCAGTGCGTGGGGAAGCGCGGTGTCCGGGTTCCCTCGCGATGGATCTATATTTAGTCTGAGTGTAAGCTGCAGCTCTCCACAAGGTATTTCCCGCCGCAGGTGTTGGGAGGCGTTTACACAGGACGCGCTCTTGCGTTCAGTAGCTGGACGGAGCGTAACGGATTGGAACAGTCTTGACGCGTTTTGAAAAGTTGATCTGCTTGTTTTTAACCTGGCAGGCTGTTTTAAAACGCGACGGTCACTGTGCCAGACGCGATGCATCCGTCTGATAGACCAGTGTCAGACAAACTTTATGCAACATGAATCCCGGTGTCCATTAATGGGCACTGTTTTATCGCTATGAGGCATTATTTCCTTTTAACCCTAACCAAAAACTTCCTAAGTAGATTGGAATACGTTTTACAAGTCTTATAGATTATTATTTCAGTTTTTCTACTTCAAGATCTCACGTTTTCAATGTGTCTTGCTTTTTCTTTGTAATTATTTGCAAAATGTACTAGCGACTTCTGAGTCAAAATTGTTTCACCACCATGTTTTTCAGTGTACAGCAGTCCAATAAACAAGGAGTTAACAGTTTATAAGCAACTTACATTTTATAGCCTACAGCTATTACCAGTTGCTTTGTCTTTTTAGGTCCGCCAACGGAAGAGATCATTCGAAGCAAAAACAACCATTTGTAGCAGCAGTACACTGTAAAAAAAAATCTGTGACATTTACGGTAAAATACCGGCAGCTGTGGTTGCCAGAACTTCACCGTAAAAAATATGGTAGCAACATTTTAGGTTTTACCACAGTGTCATTCACACAAACACTAAACCCCATCATGGTGACACACATGATTCTGAAATAATGCAATAAACATAATTTTTTTAATAACAACATTAACAACACACTGTTAAAATCACAATCATTTTTTACAGTGTAGCGTTCCTGAACGAATCAGTGTTGAATCGCTTGAGTAAACGAATCAGTGACTCACCCACAAAAGTTTCGACCTGCACCCGAAATCGCACGCTGTCTAGTAGGTACTATTTGGTTTGAAACTTACTTTACAACTGTTAAAAAGTAGATCTATATACTATGAATATGGATAGTTTGCACTGATCTATATAATGTTCTCTATTATAGATCAATTATAGAGCAGTGGTAGTAGCCTATATGGGGTAATAAAATTCGGACGTGCTTCATCCGCCATGTCACCTATCACGTGATCACGTGACCTATCAACGTCAGTTGCATATGCAGTCAGTTGCACTTCACTGCCATTCACAAACCCTCTCCTGTGTCTTCATGTGGTAGTAAAGTGTCCATCGAATGCACACTTAAGAATCTTGACAGAAGTAATACTATGAATTCGGACATAAATAGCTTACATTTTTTGCATTATATATGGAAGTAGGCATATTCAGACACAGTGTTGTTCCTGAATGAATCAGTTTTTTGAAAGAATTGGTTAAACTAATGACTGTAATGACTCATTCATAAAGACCATCACAATTGTTTTGTTATCAGTGTTGAATCGCTTGAGTAAACGAATCAGTGACTCACCCACAAAAGTTTCGACCTGCACCCGAAATCGCACGCTGTCTAGTAGGTACTATTTGGTTTGAAACTTACTTTACAACTGTTAAAAAGTAGATCTATATACTATGAATATGGATAGTTTGCACTGATCTATATAATGTTCTCTATTATAGATCAATTATAGAGCAGTGGTAGTAGCCTATATGGGGTAATAAAATTCGGACGTGCTTCATCCGCCATGTCACCTATCACGTGATCACGTGACCTATCAACGTCAGTTGCATATGCAGTCAGTTGCACTTCACTGCCATTCACAAACCCTCTCCTGTGTCTTCATGTGGTAGTAAAGTGTCCATCGAATGCACACTTAAGAATCTTGACAGAAGTAATACTATGAATTCGGACATAAATAGCCTACATTTTTTGCATTATATATGGAAGTAGGCATATTCAGACACAGTGTTGTTCCTGAATGAATCAGTTTTTTGAAAGAATTGGTTAAACTAATGACTGTAATGACTCATTCATAAAGACCATCACAATTGTTTTGTTTCTGAATGAACAGATATGTGAACAATTCTTTGAGATTTTCAAAATTTCTGACCCTGATATAAACATATAATTAAAAAAAAACATGCTCAAAGGGAAGACAGGAACACATCTTGAGTGAAAAATAGCACTGAACAAACACATCCTCCATATGAACGCCCCCTTACACAGCATTCTATGCGCAACAGCACTAACAAGCACATAAAGCTCCTCATTCAGTTCAGCGCATGTATCGCTCCACGAACAACCGTGATAGACGTGATTCCCAGACCCCCCTTAAACAAGACGAGATTTGACTAATGCTTTCGCAGGGCTGGGACAGATCCCATCCCCTTTGGCATTTCTTTAATGGAAACTCATCTTTAAAAATTCACATTCAGTTTGATAAGCAGTGAGTTACTGCTGTTCTTAAACTCAAAGGCTTTGTCAGATTTGTCCAAACAAGAGACTGAAAGCATCCCAAACCCTAGCGCGAGACAGCATGCCAACATTTCAGAAAAAGATGCTTATTATTTTGAATGTGCAAGAGCATCCTGGTAGAAATGCATAGCACTTTGCAATGCAAACATATTAATCAAAAGGTGCTTGGCATGGTGGAAGTCATCCACCGCACACTAATCTGTCTCAGTGCGAGTGGGTTATCTTTGCTTTTCTGTCCAGATTTCTGACACATTCGCAAGCAGGTGTTCAATTCCCTAGCAGGGATTTTCCGTATGCATCCTAAGTCAAATGCACTTAGTAAAAAACATATGCATTCTTTCTGAGACATACGAGTCTTATTATGGGTTATCTGGGGCTGTGATGGATTTGGGTGGTGTAATGACAGCATTGTCTACTCCAGCTGTGAACCGTAGCTCTTGCGACAGGACCCAGGTGCACATATCAGGACCCGATGGCCTATTATGACCAGTGCACTCTCAACCTCCAACGCCAAGATTTTGAGGCATTTTCTAGCCCCTCCACACAGTGACAGGTGTCCCGTGTTTAGCACACACACACACACACACACATACTCACACATCTCAGTGGGAGAGCATAAACTTTTCACAGTGTCACCCACGTCTTACACTGAGTGACAAGAAGAGAAAGGGGCTTCCTTCCGTTTCTCTTCACTGCTCCTGATGCTCTCCTGGGTGCATCACCTGCTTTGACAGAGAAACACTCCTCCAAGAGATTTTCATTTTTAGATCCGGCCCATTGGCAGGAAGCATCAGCTGTGAGCTTTATGTTAGAGGTTAAGTGGTACCCATAATGCATTGCTCGTTCTTAGTATGATTAAGGCCGATAAGCCTGGTGTAAATGATGTATTATGTTATCTTGACAACATAAATCCACAGTTTGAAAACCTAATAACAAACTGAACACTCCAACGCACACTGTTTTTTTCCCCTTATAAATAAACAAACACTAAAACACCCGACTGGCTTCACAAAGGAGTTCCTTAGAAGGTGAATCTCACCAATACATGTCATAAACATTACTGTTATACAGTCTTTTCCTTTAATTGAAGGAATAGTTCATCTAAAACTGAAAATACTGACATCATTTATCCACATGTCGTTACAAACCTGTTTGACTATCTCTCTTCTGTGGAACACAAAATTAGCGATTTTGATAAATCTTATGGTTCTGGCTCCTTTTTTTCTACGTGCATAGCAATAAATGGTGACTGAGGCTTTCAAGCTTCAAAATGATTATAAAAGCATCATTAAAGTTATATTAAAAGTCTTTTGAAGTCATATAAGAGCTTTATAGATCGAAGTTGTATAATTATTCACTGCTGATCTTCTGCTCCATTGCAACTGGAGTCAGTGAGTTGAACCAGATCAGTCCCATCCATGACTGAATCAATTCACTGAAAATGTTCAACCTTCCAACCAGAAAAGAGGGACTGGTATAGTTGTTACATGAAGGAAATAAAGCTATACATGTTTGAAACGTCATGAGGGTGTGTAAATAATCATTTTTCCTTCTGTTTATTCCTTTAAATTAGTGTCAGGCTGAAAAACAAATATTACTGGAATTTATAGATACTGTAATTTAATTCATAAGAAATAATAATTTATTTTATTTATTTATTTTAGGATGAAATATAACCCGGGCATGTTTGGCTTCCAGGAAATTCACTCTATTATACCATTGTTGCATAAGCCTATAATGAATTTTGTCCAAGTAAGCATACAATGCCTTCAGGGAGAGCCGGACAAGTCCCTGCATGGGTTCCCTTTCACTCTGCTCTGTATTGATCTCTGTATTGGCAGTGCCCACTAAATACAAAAAGCAAACGGAACCTCTTAGTAAACTCTATTCAGACATCTGCACAAAACCTCCACAGCACGGGGCAGCATCCAAAAGGTCTCTCAATAGATTCCACTGGACTTTATTAGGACACATTCCGAAGGGTCTATTTTTCATAGGGCATGTCTGGAAGGCTTTACAGC